TTTACAGTAATATCATCAAAGATTTATATTACTTCTTTACTCAGATTTTTTCAAATAGGCTTTTTGTTTTTCAATTTTTGCAGATTTATACAGCTACAAAGACTTATTTTGGGTTTGTACACCTGATGCCAGTTTGTATTTTTTTGTATAACTGGTTATACAGATGCCCTATAATCTGCCAGTTATGCTAGTACAACTATAATTACAGATATCTTAACCTAGTTATTAGGAACAGTTGCTATAATATAAGATTATATAAGTGATTATCTAAATTTTTACTGTTAGTAGGTTTTGAACTTACAATCTGCTACTTGAAAAGTTGACAACTTATTTACTTTACTAAGTTGCTATACTTTTGTTATTTATTTTTGTTTGTTTTTGTATAACTAATAGATCTGCAAAAACAAGATTAATGAAAATTTTCACTTTTCTAAAAAATTTATAAATTATTACTAAAACTTTTTGCTTTCTTGCTGTTATTTGTTATTGTTTAGATTTTCTTTCTATTTTTTATCTTGGTTATTTGTAGTTTACACTTTTTTGTCTTTTTTATTAATATCTAAAATGTTATTGTTTTGTGCATTTTTGTGTTTTTTGCTTCTTATAATTTTTAGTTAAAAGATCTACAAATAAGAAATCAAAAATAACCTTTGTTGCTAACAGTAAATAGCTATTTTAATTTATTTTTTATTAATTATTACTGTTATATTACTAGTTACTTTAGTTTTTATTTCAAATCTTGGTTACTTATATTTCTAAATAATCAAATTATTATTAGTAAAACTAGAAGATATAATATACTTTCTGATTTTACTAGAACTACTTATTTTAGTCTTAGTTCTTTAAGTTATATCTTATTTTTTTTTTTACTACTATATGATATTCTAGTTATTATTTTAATTCTAATACAATCTTTAACAAATATATCTTATTTATTCTTATCAAGTTTGTTACTAAATTACTTTACTAAATTAAAGCTAATAAAATTCTTAATCTTTCTTGTAATCTTTTTAATATTATCTATTTAGTAATTTTTTAATATTCTTTATATGTTCTATTATTATTTTCATTAGCAATTAACTTACAATAATTATTTTTTATTTTTTAATCTTGTTAACTTATTTTTTTTTTGCTTTTGCTAAGGCTGTAGTTATCAATAGCTATTGCCTTTATTGTATTTTAATTATGATTACATAACTTGTACAAGGTGAGTATACAACTAGTCATATGTACAACTTTTGGTTGTCTAATTTAAGTAGTCCACCTGCATAGCAGGTTCTATACTAGCTGCCATACCTGCAATTTACTAGAAGATTACCTATTTAAACACTCTGATCCTTATACTTATACTGACAAATAGCATACAAGTTCTTATACACCTAAGTGCCATCTAATCTAACTATAACCTCTCTGTCTATACATCCATCAAGCCATTACATATTTCAGAGTACGTCACCTAACTTGTAGGGCTTTAGGAAGCCCTCCTGCTAACTAACTACTCACATTTTAGTATCTTGTTAATAGGGCTTGCCCTTGCAAAGTTTACCTAGACCCTAGTATTGACTTTATAGCTATCCCTAGTACTTTAGTATATCCCTGTTTCCCATCTCAGACTTCCAATCCAGATAGCCTAGTAGAACTATGACCTGTCTCTGATACACCAAGGTCTGCTCTTCAAGATCCTTTTCCTTTGGTTCGAGACTTCTGGTAGCCTAGTTGGTGGTATCTCTTATCTGAGGTTCTTGTTTGCCCGATTCCTTTTACATTAGTATCTGTTTCTTAGGTTTAGCCTTTATAGTAGTACTATCGAAGTTTCATGTTAGCTTTCTACTTGGGTCTTCCTAAGTGGGCTTAGGTTTTCCTAGTTTACAGATTTACACAACCACAAGGACTTATTTTGTGTTTGCATTGCTTAATACCAGTTTGCATTTCTCTGTATAACTTCAATATTGCACAGATGCCCTATGACCTGCCAGTTATCTGGTGCAACTATGTTACAGGTACTGATCTCAACTGATCGACAGATTGCCATTGCTATAGTACCAGACACAAGAACTTATCTTGAGTTTGCACTGCCTAATATCAGTTTGCATTTCTTTGTGTAACTTCCACATTGCACAGATGCCTATAGTACCAATATACATAGGTAGTTTTCCAAATTTTCACTGTCAGTAGGTTTTGAACTCCCTATCTACCACTTGGGGGTTGACAACCTATTCACTTCACTAAGTCACCACACCCCAATCTTGTTAATTTATTAATAGTTTTAGACTATTATTAACTTCAATTATAACTTATTTACCATTTTATTTTATATAGATAGTTTTGTTATTAGTTTTGTTACTTCTAATATTTTATAAATATAAAATAGTCCAAGTTTACAATTTCTTAATTATTCACATATTTTATATATAAGTTAAACTTTGATGTTCTTTTAAAGCTAAAATTCTTGTTATCTTCTTTGTAATTATTATGGCTCTTAGATACAGTTTATTTTATATTTTTATTAACTTACAATTAGTTATTTTTAAATATTATAGTATTTGTTAATTATTATTTATTTTTTTTTATATTTATATTTTTTGTTTTTATATTTAAAAAACTCTTATTAACTTTATCAATTCTTATAATATTTAATTTATATTTTATAAAGTTATAGCATATTATATTAATTTATTTAATAATCTTGCTAATTAACTAGCTTATAATTATTATGATTAAATTTTTTTTTCTTTAACAATCTTGCCAAGATTTTTTGTTTTTTATATATTTCTGAACAATATTTTCAATATTTGAAGATCACTGAACCTTAAGCTCTTCTGATCTGTATTTTTAAACTTTTTAAAAGTAACTTATTATATTGATTTTTGCTAAAATTAAAAGGTTTTATCTAACTCTATCAAGACCTAACTATGCATTATAAGTTTGTATTTATAAGTATTAGACTTTTAGCTTTATATTATATTTTATAACTTTAGTAATTCTAAATTAGACTCTAACTTATATTCTTTATTATATGACTTCTTAACTGCAGGTTACTTGCTATTGCTAGAAATAAGTTTGTTTTTAGATGTTTTGAGTTCTTGGTCTTACAATATTGCAGTTCTTTATTTTAAAAATACATTTTTACAATTGTCATCACTAGAATTTAAACCAGCAGTTTTGTGATTTGTGATTTTGAAGTATAACTGCTATGCTATCAATTCTAAAAATCTCTTATAATTATTAAATTTTATCTTTTTTTATATTTCTAATATATAGTTAAAATTTCTATTTGATATTTTATTTGAACTATCTGTTAAGCTCATATAATTATGCTCTAAACATCTTAATAATATTTTTAATAATTAACTATAATTGTATCTAATATTAACTAAGAAGTTACATAGGTTTATATTAATAATTAAAAAAATTTAAATTTATTTAAAACTTTTATTTTTTTCTTTAAAACCCTTTTATATTAAATTTTACTTAATAAACTATCTGATTCTTATACTTTTTACAAACAAAACTTTTTTATTTACCTTTTGTTATTAATATAATCTAATTAGCTCTTTTCTATACTAATATATTTGTCTTTTTATTCAAACTATCTATAACCTACTTTCTAATTCTTTTAGTATTATTTTTAATACAATTTTTCTGCTAATTTTGTTATTGATTTGCATTAAAAATTTTTTTATTTAACAGTTTTAAACTATACAATTTTTTATATAACACTTTTTTTAATTTTTATTCTATTAGGTTTAGTTTTAGCTAACCTTATTTCTACTATCTATAGCACTTTCATTCTCTACTGTACTGCTATTTTTCTTTCTATTTAATTTCTTTTTTATTTAAACCAATAAATTTATAAACGCATTTGGATTTCCTATTGCATTTCATATTTTGAACAATTATAACCTATATTTTTTACTAATTTATTCCATACTTCTTTTTTTAGTCTAGTTTTATCTTTTTTTTAATCTCAATATTATTACTAAAATTGATCTTTGAACTACTTTATGAATTAAATATTATATTTCCTCTTTTACATTTATATTTATATCCAAATTTAGATAAAACTTGATTACTCTTGTAGGTTTAGGTTGCAAATTATATATCTGAATCTTTATTTTTTATATATCATTTGAAAAACAACCTTTTTTTTATAAAAACTTCACTTAAATTTCAATAAAGTTAAACATAATCTCACCTTTAATATTTAAAAAAAAAGTAAATGTTGGTTTTGTTTTTACATTCTGAAGATTGTTTTGAGTGTAATGCATGTATTAAAGATTTTTAGCAATAAGTTCAAGATATATATGTTAGATGCTTTAGTATCTCATTAGATATTTACTAGGTTAATGCATAATATTTTATGTCCAGAACACATAATAATTATTGTCACCATCAAATAGGAGAGCTTCCGACAATCGTGCTAAGTTTAACTCCGATGGTTGACATAAGAGAGATGCAATGCATGATGACAAATTAAGGAACTAGGATTTTACATGGTTAGTAGGCATTTATTATATAAAAGTATGTATTCTTTGTTTAGAGACGATTTTAGAAAGCATCATTACCTCATGAGCTAAGGACAAGAGCAACCCTTTAGATACATTCTCATTTCTTATAAAGTCCATGATAAGGATATAGAATCTATATTATAACTCTGAATCATACATGATTTCTCACAGGCAACTCATTCTATTAAGTTTATGCGAGAGCATATACGCAACTAGGGGAAATTCATATTGGTTAAACCACAAAGAAGGCATAAGAATGCCTAATATTATAAAGATAACATGCCATGACAATACATTTATGGAAGATATGTGACAACTTAATGAATTAGACAAATACGGGAAGTGAGAGACACAGGAAAAAATTATTCGTTACCTATATTGAACATTTACAATTTAATTACATTTATCGTTATAGTATTCGAAAATTTATAAAATTTAGAAATATATGATATTATCTAACCTAGTTTCCAAACTCAGACTTTTTAACATTTTCTAATTTGAATTCTGGTACCTTTTAGCAAGCCCCATAACATCACCAACGACCTCCAATCCTGCATTGATAGACTTATCATGAAAACTAACACTCTCAATATCATTATTATCTCGCCATAATTTTACAGAAATTACTGCATCCAAACTTTCCTCAACTCTTAAAATCATTTTTCCGAGTTGTTTTACGGGTGCACGCAAAGGAATTCCTCTACCAGCCCTACGTTTTATATTGATTTTAAGATGAAATCCTTGTATGTTTGAAATGTGTATATTTATATGTTGCATGGAAAAATTGTCCATTTCTATATTGAATTCGCGAACAAAAGATAATGTATAAGTACTAAAATTATATGTAATATTCGTACTCCCATGATAAAAGATGATTAATCGTCCAGGATTACTAAATGATTTTTTAAGAAAAGAAATCTTATTGAGTAGGTTATCTGGTGAAATTATTGGGAAATCCGCTATAGAAAACTTTCAAATTTTATACAATTTAAAAAAATTATTAAATAATAAATAAATAAATAAATAAAAATGTAATGCTCACTAATAATGAAGACCCTTCATCATTCATGAAATTATTAGTCTGTGCCCAAATATAAGACTGAGGAAAATTAGTACCCCAATCTTTTTCTATATATCCATATCCATTTTCAAAATTGATTTTTTGGAAACAATCTTCATTCTCTTCATTAATAAGCTCTATATTACCATTAGATCTATGATTCATACTTAAAACTCCGTGATTACATTCTAAGAAAGGAATGTAGGCAAAGGGACCCATAACACTTGGATAAACATATGTGGCGGGAAATGGTACCATTTTATCAAAAGAAATGTGTCCATGTATAGAACATGAAACAAATTGAGGATGAATGATATTTTTCAAAAGATTTTGTTTCATTGTAGACGAAACAACTACTTGTGATTCAGCATTAGAATAATTTGACGATTTAAAATTGATTATATTAATCCAATCCTTAACTAAAAAGTCAATGTATTCTTCATACTCTTTATCAGTAGGCTTTATCAGTCGTGAAGAGGAAAGGTCAAGTGTTATGCCACTTTTTTGAAACTTATTATTACCAACTCTTACATAAAACTCCATATCAGCGCTGGAACTCGTTTCAAATTCGTTGATTTCGTATCGATAATAGAGACAATCAAATCCAGAAAGAAGGATCATTACAAAAGCATGAGATTCATTACCTTTGTTCCTTGTAGGAGCATGATAAATCCCTACTATTACGATAAATGTTTTATTATCATCATTCGATACTGTTTTAAAATACCAACCCTCGAAAAAATTTTCTTTATCATCATCACCATGGTAGTGTTCCGGATGGTATAGAAGTTTTATGTTTGAAAAAGCCATTTATAATTTTATAATATTGTGATGAAAGCTTAAAGGTAGTATTTCTATAAATTTTGCGTTAGTAATTAGACAAACAATTTTAAGAGAAACCCCTATTTTACAGCTTTATTTAAAAATTGGTTTATTTAATACTAAATTTTTTTAATCTATACTAATAATAGTATTTATGTACGTATAACAATAATTATTGCATAGTGTAATGAATGATTAATCAACAAGATAAAACGTTGTGTTAATGCAGTGAGCTTGTGAATTAGATAAATTGGGAGTGATTTCCGCATTTATTTAATCTGCTGAACAAAATTGAAAATTTTTCTTGAACAAATTAATAACAGAGGAAAGATAACCATATTGGCGCAATAAGTATCAATATATTCAAGTGAATTTATTATCCACGAGTTTAATAGTGAATGTTTTGCGAGATTATTGAGAAATGGAGCTTGAATTCAAAAGATGAATGCAAATATCATTTCAAGTTATTACAAGACAATAACTAATAAAGATGTCTTTATTCAAATCTTGTATTTTTATAAATATCGAGACTTGTATCTTTTTGCAACGCTTTGTATTAGCATAATCGATCTCGATTTTGTTTTCCGAAAGTGATTATTATCAAGCAAAATAAGGTTTCCTTAGTGTTTGTAGTCGACCATCGTTTATCGACTTGACTAAGTCAATATTTAAAAATCGGCTCAGCCGACTAAGTCAAAGTCGATCATCTTTGATTAACCTTCGGAAGTTGTCGTAATTTTCCTCATTTTTGTCTTTATTTTATGTTCGTTGATTTTTTCTTTCCACCGAATAGAATGATTTGGCCTAAATTTGATCGGTTACTATAAAATTGACTAAGTCGATTTCTTGAAAAATCGGCTGACTAAGCAGGCTAAGTCGATAAAACTGACTGAAGCAAACCGACTACAAACACTAGTGCTAGGTTTCCTGATTGCTGCCAAATTAACCCTATTGGTGTCCCATCGCTATTGCATACGGATTTGATGCAAAAAGTTAATAGTTCACGGGGCAAAAAACGACATACCTAAAAGTCTATATTGCTGCTATATAAGATTAAAATTATAAAAATTATAAAATTTTTTCACGTCCAAACTATTAATTTTTTTTCTTTAAGTATGTCTAAAGTTGATAATGATGCATCCTTATTCCCAAATCCTTTAATATCGATGTGGGTTCTTCTAGAAGGCAAACCAAATATATGTTAAGTCAGATGATTTTATATCACGCTTAAATGACTTTAAAGGTAGGGGGTACATAGATTATTTTTATTAGGGATGTTAATCGACTCGGTTTAGTCAGTTTACAAGTCGGTTAGAGTCGAGTTGGTTAAAGTCGACTCCAAATTGAGAACATTGTATATGAATGATGTTCGAACGTCAATTATAATTATTGCACGGGTCTTATGTAACAACCTGTGCTTTTTTCATTTACTTATTGGCACGGGATTGTACGTCAGACATCGTGCAATAACTATAACAGTCACACGATTGTCACACAGACCATTTTTAATCCATAAATAGACAATGCAGATCATTCCTTTTTTGATAATAAACGCAGATCCGAATATTCTAGAAATACAACATAAGAACCATGTACCAAGTGTACCTCGCGCGAGATAAAACAAGTATATATTCCACAAATTATATAACTTTGTGCAAAATAGCTCATCCAAACATCCAAGGCCAAATTTGGAGTTTAGTGAATTATGGATTTTGGTGATTGCTCTAATATTTTTTTTAAATTTCAGTATTTATAAATTACTAACTGTTAAGATTTTCTTTACTTCGCGCAAGGTATGATGCAATTTGCGCGTAATATCATTCGTGATACCAAGTGTTATTATATTTCGATTTTTCTTTTTTTTAAAAAAAAAAAGTAAAAAAGGATCAAATTCCGAATTTTAAAAGTTTTTCATGATTTGATCCTTAAAACCTTGTCCGGTTCTAAAGAAAATAATTTTGAGTTTTTAAAAGTATTCTTTATATAATTTATATTTATAGTTTATTAAATTAATAATTCATTTAAATTTATAAGTTTAAAAAGTTTTATGACATGTAAATTAAATTACAGTAAGCTTGCAATTTATGGAATAACCCAAGATATAAACAAATAAATTCTTGGCATTTCAGTATGCTGATAAAGGATTCTATAAATATTTAAGAAAAAATTTTAGTAATCTTACTTGGCAGGCTAAATTGCAATTACTTGTAGATATTTCATATGTGTTATATTATATTCACGATTATGCAGGATATATTCATGCTGACTTTTACAGTAGCAATATTTTACAAAACAAATAAAAAAAATATACAATCTTATACTGCAAATCTATGATTGTTTAAAAAGAAAGAAGCGTAGTTCAGAAGGTAAAATTTATGGTATAATGTCTTATGTCGCTCCTGAAGCTGATATTTATGGCTTTGAAGTCATTATAACTGAAATATCAACTGGACAGAGACCTTTTTTAGGCACAATTTTGATACTAAACTTCCAATAGAGATTATTCATGGATTATAGCCTAAGACTCCTAATTGCTATATTGAATTGGCATTGCAATGCATTTTTTTTTTTTGCTAAGAGATGATGGTGATTTGTAAATACTTATATAATTTGGTGTTGGCATGGTTAGATTAAAAGGCAACACTTTATGTAAATTATGCAATTTTACTTTGTATTTATTTTAATAAATAAAAAAAAATAATAATAATACAAAGTTATAAAACTGTAAAACTTTTATTTTTTTATTCTTAATAAAAATTTTTTAATCGAATTTTGCACATTTTAAACCCATAAATTGATCAATATATAATTTATTATTTTTACAAAATATTATATTCTTGAATTTTTAAATCATCCTAATTATTAACTTTATCAACAATAAATGAATATCTTACCTTCTATAATATATCCAATAATTCATCTTTTTTTTTGACTTTAAGCCTAAATATCTCTTCTGAAAAATTTTACTAAGCTGTTCAAGAAGGATTTCTACCTTTAGTAAAATTTTGGCTTTAGTCTTATTTTCTTTACATTCTATCATTTTTATTTATTTATTTTTTTTTTAAATATTAAGATAAGTACTTGCAACTCAGGATTCTATTGATAGTATATTTGGCTAATAGTTGCATTACAACTACAGAGGGCAATTATAGAAAGAGTGTACAACTAGCTACTCATACAACTTTAGTTATTGTCTAATTTAAGTAGTTCACTTAAAGGTTCTATACTAGCTGTCATACCTAAAACCTGCTTGTAGGTTTCCTATTTAACCACTTTAGTTTTCATATCTACCCATCTATCTCTGTCTACTAACAACCCTGGCCAATACTAATGAAAAAATGTCATGACTACTAAGTCTTTAAAGCAGTTCTTTGGAACTTTTAACCTTATATTAAACATTTCAGAATCTTCTGTATTTCATTTTTATAGCTAACTCAATATTATTATGATTTAAACTAATACTGGCAGTTAGGATATATCATTAAACTGCTATGCCCTTGTAGAGTTCACCTTAATCCCAATACTGACTTCACAACATATCCTTATTATTTTGGTATTCAATTTAAGTTTCATCAAGTTGCTATTTCAGATAGCTCAAAAAAGTAGATCGAAACTATACACTTCTGGTTTACATGTTTGTTAACAAGTATCTTTTTTTTCTAGAATCTTGAAATTCTGATAGCCTGGTTGTTTCATCTAATCCTTTCTCAAAAACTAATATATTTGCCTGGTTTTACAAGTTCTAGTTCTGTTTCATAAGTCTAGTCTTTATAGTAGCATTATTAAAAGTTCAGGTTATTTCTCTATTCAGGTTTTTTAAATGGGTTTCTATCTTCCTACTTGGTTTCTGTAATTTATATAGCCTAAGAACTTATCTTAGGTTCACACTGTCTAGTACTGGTTTGTGTTTCTTTATACAATATTGTATAAGAGCCTAGATTTTTCAGTCATACTAGTATAATACAGATTACAGGTATCTTATCTTAACCAATCATAGAAGACAGTTAACCATAATACAGAAAGAATTGTAAATTTTTATTGTCACTGGGATTTGAACTCTAGACCTGTTACTTGAAGGTTGACAACCTATTCACTTCACTAGGTCATCACATCCTCTTTATCATTTTTATTTTTTGATTTATGATCAGTATTGGTCTAAATAAAAAAGAATTATTTCTATTAATAAATACTTCAGTAATAAAATCCTATCGTATTTTTTTTACTAATAATGTAATATTTTTTAAATACTTATTCAAATCATATTCTTCTAAATCTTGATTTACAAAATCAAGGCTTTATAACTGAATCTTAAATCATCAACATTCTAATGTTGATTCTGATCAAGTTTTTGGCCTAAATATCTAATAATCATTATATTCAATTACTTTGAATAAATTATTTTAAAACTAAAATTTAATATTAATTAATAAACACAATTATATATATAGTTATCAAATTTAACTAAAAATCAAATATATTACAAATAAAATAATAGAAAACTCTCTTTGCTGATCCTCATGACCAAATTTGGATTAGAAAAGAAAATTATAGAAAATGCAAAAACCATCAAGACAAAGTGTGAAAGCTGACTAAGCAAAAAGAAAGCTAATAGAAAATTAGTTATAGTTTGTTAGAATAGTAAAATAGAAGAACAGCAATATAATAGCCTAGAGACAGCCTTTTCAAGTTCTTCTTGTCTTTTTGAAATTTTTTTAGAAAAAAACAGAAAAACACAGAAACCCTGTAGTGCAGATCGTACATGTGACATGAAAATTAAAGCAGAGTAAATAATAAGCAGAATAGGAAATAAACAAACAGATGCGTAATCATGTAGATAAACAAACAAACACAAACTTAAAAAGCAATCACGTGTTTAGTATACCTATTAAGGTTATAGAATAATGCAAAAAAATAGTACACAGAAGGTTCAATCAGTATTTACAGAAACTAGCTGGTACGATAAACTAGAAAAATATCAAGGCTTGTTT